CTACCAGACGCCCACACCGCATTCAGTCTGTAATACGGGAGCCCCCTTCACACGTAAATCATGTGAAGGGGGGGGTCATGCAATTAAAAGGACAGAGGAGCCCCCCCCCGAGGTCATGTGGCTTCCTCACCCCACCCCCTGACATCCGCACATGGAGAAGGAAAGCTTACGCACCTAGACTACTACATATGAACCCTTTCACAGGAGCCCTGCACAACTGGGATTCCATCTCTCACGGAGGCCTTCGGATGCTAAGCTTTCATCCTATGCATATCCAAGCCACGAGCCACATGTTGACATGAGCAGAGACCTATGGATCTCCAAGGGCTGACCTTTATTCACAAGACACCGTGCATCATCCAATTCATGCATGAAGTGGACCTGGGCATAATCTTCCAAGCAGGTGAACTACAGTCAAGTATTAGAAAGGGCCAAGTTGCCTGTCAGCTGAAAGCAACCCTGTCTATCTTGGGTGGGGGGGTTTTTTGCCCTAATTTGCTTGGAGACCTTAGGGTGACAAGCGACTAATAAGTCTAATAAATGAAACATCTCCCTCCACATTGAGACAGGCCTCAGGGCCGCCCGAAAGCAGCCTGGACTGCGGCAGACAGAAAGTGCCTTCCCCTATAACCCACAACATTAAAATAAAACCCTAAGTGAGCAACCCAGGCCAGCCTATTAGACAAGCACCGTGGCCTGAAGATACTCAGCTTCCCCATTTTTGCAGCCTTAGGCAGATGAATTTCCTTCCCAGGTCTAATGGCAGCTTGGGGGAGCAGCATTCTTAATCAAGATCAAGTGTGCAGCAATCAAGATCCTGTCCCCATGTCCTATGTGGCAGCTCTTTAAGCTTTTCAAAAAACAAACAAATTAACACTGCATCTCCAAGATGTTGCTGGCTAGGCTTGTTGTGGCCTACGGTGTATGGCAGCTGGAGCATAACATCTGGAGCACAGCACTTTGCCTACCCCTGCCATATCTAGCTTGGTTCCTACCAGGTCTGCGGTGCACTGCCATACTTGTCTGCTGGTCTGCATTTAGCCTGGTAAGTTGTGCAGATCAACCCTATGCCCTATTAATAATAAACCATCTTTTTATGTCTCCTTTCTGACTGGGTTGCTCCATATTCAATTGGATGGATACCTTAAGACAAGCTTGAAACAAGACTGTTATGGAAATAATCCACCTACTTGAGGACTTTGATCATTACTTAATGGAGGGTGGAACAGAAACAACACCAGCAGGTTGGGAAATACTAGCATTTTCAGAGCATGGAAGGACACGAGAGGGGCCTGTTGGATCAGGCCAATGATATTCAGAAGCATATTTCATCCACTTATGAAGGCAAAGCATATTTTTCTTGAGGAGTAGCCACTAATAGTCATCTCATCCATGAATTTGTCCAGTCTTTTAAAGCCATGCAAGTCAGTGCCCCCCCTCCTGTGGGAGTGAGTTCCACAGTTTAAGCACTGCTTCATCTGTCTTGAAACCTAAAAACTATTATGCAAAATCCCACTGACCATTTCTCAACAGATAACACCCTTTATAAGCCTTAGTTTTCCCAGCAATACAAACACATTGGGAAATGAAATCAAAACCAACAGATCTGCCTTCATGGGCTTTCATAATTCTTCAGTATAGCTTTGCTGACAAAGGTCTCATGTAAAGTCCATATCCAAAGAGGTTGGAAATTTTGATTTGTCAACTCAGTCCTAAGTATCTTTATCTGTAAGCAAGACCCTTGAATTAGTAGTACACAAGACTGCAGCCTGTGGGTCAACTCAAAATATAACAAAGACTCCCCCCAAGGGACTCCTTGTTTTAATTGCTTTAATTTCAGCTATTAGAAGGCTCTTATTTGCAGTTGCTGAGCTGTACGTCATTGGTAGGGAAATGAGCAAGTATTTGGCACAAGGGCCAAAAGCACTTTCAGGCATCTAAAGCAAGTCAGACGCAGTGCCTGCTCATACAAATGTTGTATGTGCCTTTTGGCAATATCTACCGGTATGTAGCTGCCTTTAGATATAAATAAGTGTGCCTGTATGAGCAAACACAGAAGGGTTTTTCTGAATGACGTATTACTGATTTTTCTTGGGTTGCTAGCCTACGGGGGGATGGTTCCACTTCTCCTGTGCCCCAGCATTTTGCTGTGTGATTTGATTCTGTCTAGGGCTGCCATATGTCTGGGATTTCCAAGATATATCCAGGATTCGTCCAGGCAGACTGTCCCAAAATGCTGAAAATGTCCAGGGAAACCCAGGAGTCTGGCAACCCATGCTGGAAGTGAGTGTTTGTTTTTTGCGAATTTCCTTAAAAATAGCTTTAAAACTTCATTTTTGGGGGATATTTTTTTTTAAAAAAACCCTCAATCAGCTGTTTGCGCAAACGCAACAGGTCAGAGGAACCAAAGGATGATGTTTTAGCATCAGCACAAAGGCACTTCTTTTATTCCTCTGGTGCTGCAGGAATAGTATCACGATGGGATGGATGGACAAAGGTGACCTGCCAAAGGTGACCTGAAATTTCAAATAATGTCCTCAGAGGACCCTGCAGCATGAACAATGTGCTCGGTGCTTTTTTAAAGGCCAGCGGGGAATGTAGATCATTGAAGGCCGATCCATCTCAGCTTTCCCTCATCTTTTTCCTTACCACCAGTCAGAGGGTGGCTCTGCCAATCATTGAAAACTAACCTACTGTTAGTTTCCCTGTCTTCTTCCCTAGTTGTCCCAGGGGGCAACAGCCACCAAGGGAATAGATGGATGGTCTTGGGCATTTTATTGCTTAGCCTTTTTCTCACCATCTGTAAAATGGGAGCAATAAAGAACTCTCTCACAGACTGTGGCCCCACCTACACAATGCATTTAAAGCAATGTCATGCTACATTAAGCTGTCAAGGTTTTCCCCAAGGAACCTGGAGAACTACAATTTGTTAAGGGAGCTGAGAGTTCTGAAGAGACCTCTATTTCCCTCATGGAGCTACAATTCCCAGAGTTCCCTGGGTGGAGGGATTGATTAAATTTACTCTGGGAACTGTCGCTCTGTGAGGCGAACAACTCTCTGCAACCTTAACAAACTACAGTTCCCAGGATTATTGGTGGGGGAGCCATGACTGTTTAAAATGGTATGATGCTGCTTTAAATGTATAGCGCAGATGGGGCCTGTAAAACCGGGAAAGACTGCACATTGTAAGAAAGTGAAAAGGTGCTAGTCCCTTTGGACTCCTCATTCTCCTCACAAGGTTCCCCACCCCTCACTGCAGCAGCAACTCAAGGTCTATGTCAGAAATCAAGTTTTCTGCTCTGTCAGTGAGAAGGGAAATGAGAGCATTGCTCAAGTACATACTGAACATCACATGCAATCTGTAAGCATCAGCACCTGGAATTCATAATGCTTTGTGCAACATAATATTACAACATTTAATGAGTTTTTTCCTGCCATTATGTGAGTTCAGCTTTTTTTTGACTTTGCTATGTAAAAGACAAATATGTCAGCAATTTGAATTCCACTCCAAGACACCAGTCTGACATCTGCATAGTACATTATATACATTTTATAAAGCACCACATTATTCTTTCATTAATTCAAACCAGGGATGGGAAACCTGCAGACTTCCAGATACTGCTGAACTCCCAACTGCCTCAGCCAGCATGGCCAATGGTCAGGGAGGTGGTGTGATTTGATTCAGCTCCAACAATACTTGTAAGGCTGTGGGTTGCCTGTCCCTGTCTCTGGTCCACCCCTCACCTTTTCCTTCTTACAAAAGCTATTCAAGAAAGAAATGCAAAACCACTCAAGCAAAAAGGAAGGGAGTTTGCAGCACTGGTGCTAGCCAATCAGTTGCTGCACACAGCCAGTGTCTAGAGCTCAGACTCAGAGAATAAATGTTTCCCATGCTCAGCACTGAAGAAATAAATTTTCCATAGCAGCTCACGCCACTCAGATAATGTTAGATTTGTATGCAGTCTGAGGCTGCCTTGTCTGCTATACCTCAGGTGTGGTAGAAGATGAAGGAAGATCCATCTGCAAGTTTGATCAGTCTGATGCCTAAACTGACTCTTATTTTGCCCAAGCAAAATTTATCCTCCATCCCTGGATTGATGGGGCTGCTTTGGACTTCTTCACAACGCTCAAATTATGGAGGTTAAGAAGTCAACATGCCTCACATCTCACCTGCCCCTTACCAGTTTAGGCTCAGCCCCCTTCTTGGACAGTAGTTGGGGGTGTGGGGTAAGGGTAAAGGGACCCCTGACCATTAGGTCCAGTCGTGCATCTGGGGTTGCGGCACTCATCTCGCTTTATTGGCCGAGGGAGCTGGCGTACAGCTTCCGGGTCATGTGGCCAGCATGACTAAGCCGCTTCTGGCGAACCAGAGCAGCGCACGGAAACGCCGTTTACCTTCCTGCTGGAGTGGTACCTATTTATCTACTTGCACTTTGACGTCCTTTCGAACTGCTAGGTTGGCAGGAGCAGGGACCAAGCAATGGGAGCTCACCCCGTCACGGGGATTCGAACCGCCAACCTTCTGATCGGGAAGTCCTAGGCTCTGTGGTTTAACCAACAGCGCCACCCGCGTCCCGGGGGTGGGGGGAGTTCTTTGCAATTCAATCACTGAATGTGATTGGTTCCAAACAGACAATCCGAGTAAGGAAGCGAAGCGGAGATGGGAGACCAGACCGCTGCTCTCCACCAGCCCCAGAAAGACTTGGTTGTGGAGATCCAGGAAGGCTACGAGATTCATATACAGTGGTACCTCAGGTTAAGAACTTAATTCGTTCTGGAGGTCCGTTCTTAACCTGAAACCATTCTTAACCTGAGGTACCACTTTAGCTAATGAGGCCTCCCCCTGTCGCCATGCGTTTTTTGTTCTCATCCTGAAGCAAAGTTCTTAACCCAAGGTACTATTTCTGGGTTAGTGGACTCTGTAACCTGAAGCTTCTGTAACCCGAGGTACCACTGTACCACGGATGGCCCTTGGAAAGAGGTGAAGGGCAAAATCATAGGGAAGGCGGTAGCTCAGTAGTACAGCATCTGCCTTGCATGCAAATGATCCAAGGTTAAATCCCCAGGCTCTCCAGGAACAGCCAGGAATATCTGCAATCTGTAACCCTGGTTTAGTACAAAACTGTCTTCTAGGTTCCATGTCTCGCTGGAACCTCGCTGGACAATGGAGATTGCCACACAAAATAGAGCTCCCCCCTTAAACACTACTTGAAGGAGGGCAAAACATTGAATTCTACAAGGATGGAGAACCAAACAGTAATTGAAACTAGGGACAGAAACTGAAACTGGGGAAGATCTCTTTCTGTTTGCCAACTGGATAACTGATAAGATACTGCCTGATCTCTCCAAGCAGACTCTAAGGTTCTTGACTTTCTTACTGCCTTCAAGAATCAGAGGAAAGAAACTGCGATCCCACATAATTTATAATTACTTTACTATGGATCTCCACCAAGTTATACATCTTTACTTTTTAAAAACAAAAAACCAAAAGCATCTTAAACAAAAAGATAAATAAAATGTTATCCTGTGCCTTTCCAGACAAAAAGGGGTGTGCTGTATTTCCCATAGCCCATTTCAAAAAAGAAGAAGAAGAAAGTCTCACCTTTCAAGTACCGGGATCAGAGAGTGCTGCAGACGCACTCGGCTGTCAAGCTAACTGATTGCAAACTGAGGAAGGAGAGTCATTAAGCATTTTTTCCCAAGCGCGGTGAGGCATAGCTGGCTTGATCTACCTGCCCGCCCACTTGAGGGCTAAATCTAAATTACACCTTTGCCTTCAGCTGTCTGAGCAGAGCAGATGCTAGGAAGTAAGCCCCAATGAATAAATCAGAGATTAATCAAAGCAGGTGTTACAGCTGTTGTTCCATCATAAAGAAGGATATGGCTGAGGTTTAAGGCTGTTATCCTGACCTAGGTACATTTTCTGGAAAATGACCTCCTCTGGGGTGCATGAAATTACCACTTCCAAGTGTCCCTCTAAGTACTGTATCCCTATTTTCCAGGGACAGTCCCAGATTTGCCGAAGTTGTCCCGTTTGATTTGATCCTGGAATGTCCTGCTTTTCCTTAAGATGTCCCTATTTTCATCGGAGAAATGTTGGAGGGTATGGAGTTATGCGAGCCCCAAGCCAAGGAGATAAGTAACTATACAACCTTTAGAAGACATCTGAAGACAGGCCTTTAAGGGAATTTTAAAAAATGTTTAATGGTTAATGTTTTTATATATGTTGGAAGTGCCCAGAGTCGCTGGGGCAACCCCGTCAGAAGAGTAGGATATGAAGAAGAGGAAGAGGAAGAGGATTCCTATTTTCATTGGAGAAATGCTGGAGGGTATTTAAATGTGATTTAGGTTTAGGTCATAACCCTTCAGCATAAAAGAGGCAGAGAAATAGCCAAGCACCTAATTATGCCAATTTCTAACAAACTGCACATTGTTTGGAGTTTGACATTTTTCTTTCTTTCCCGAAGCTTGTTGGCTCTAAGGTTGCCAACTTTTTTTCTAGGGTTCAGCTCTTGTGCCTTTAACAGCATCATGGCATGGAAAAAAAGCAGTGGAGATTTATTTGCTTTCCTTTTACACGGAGACAAATGGTGAGAAAAGCTTCTTCTGTTTAATTTTCCGTGGGATTGACTGCTGTTAAAGACTGTGGAGGAAAACCAGTTATTTAAAAAATAGTAGTAATTTGGCAACTGGTGTTTTTCTCATTCTGGTTATTGTAGTTCTTTTTAATTGCTTTACTGGTGTTTGGAAACTTGATGGAACTAACTCCACATGATTTGGAATAAAACCTACTCCCAATTAACTGCCCACACAGCCCTCATGTGAGCTGCACCAGTGAAGCAAAGAAAAGAGGAGGAAGAAAATGAAAATAAGAGCAGCAGAGAGTACGAAAAATCTATATAAAGAAAGAAAGAAAAATAGTAAGGGAAATGATAGGTATGAGGGAAATATCTCTGGGGAGCATATTGGGATAATCAATCTGTCTTTTAAAACAAGGGCAGGTATTGCTTTGTTTGTTGTTATGTTATGTACTTTTGTGTTTTTAGACTGTAAACTGTACTGCAATCTTCATAGGAAGGGTGGTATATAAATAAGAGAAAAGGCTCTCAGAGAGATACTAGTGAGAGGTGTGGCTGAGGAGATTGTGTTGTAGCCTTATGATGCTTTGACCTCGGGTAGGAAAAATATTGCGCCCGGGAAAGGGAGATGGGATTCAACAGACACTCAAGGAATAGTTTCGGAGAAAAAGTTTTTATTTCTACAATCCATGAACTGGTAGAAGGAGCAAGTTTGATAGTTCACAAACAAGCACGAGTTCACAGTCATTTGCACCAGAGTATATATTCGCCTTCCAGTTCCCTCCCCTTTCTCCTCCTTCAGGAGTCCTGCCCCATGAGTTCCTCTGAGCATGAACAGAAAGCTCCTGTCTTGGGACTATTGGACTCTTGGCACCCTTCCCAGGAAAGGGGAATGAGAGCGGTTCAGCATGTCCAAAGATGTTGCAACTAGAATGAGATAAAAGTCAGTTCTTAGGCTTGCTTTGAACAGAGTCTACTCATTAGCCTTTTGAAGCCTTCTCGTACTGATAAAAGAATAACATTTTGCCTTGCAACAGCAGAGCAAATGAGCAGATGCTTAGCTGCTGAGAAAATGATTTTGAAATCTTTGAGAAGCTTTGAGCCTGCTTTTGGGGGGGGGGGTGACTTCGGGCCTAGGTGGGGTCACCTGTCCTCACCTTCCTTCAGTGTGGGCTGAAGAGAGTCCCCAGGCCCAGATAGAGAGGCCTGGAGGGCTGCATTGGGCCTGTGGGCCTGTGGCTCCCCTGTCCCTACCCTGGTGCAACCAAACAGGCTTTCTATCAGTGTCATAGGGCATGAGACTCTTTATCTCAGGGTTGTGGGTTCAAGACACACATTGGGCAAAAAGGTGCTTGCATTGCAGGAGATTGAATTTAGATGACCCTTGGGGTACTTTCTCTTCCCTTACAAGCCTAAGAGTCTATGATCAGTGAGCCCAGCTTTGCAGGTGCAATTTGAACCAAACCATGCCTGCCAACGGACTTCAAAGCGGCCTGCTGTAATCTCTCGTCAGCACTTGCAGTGAGTGCCTTTAATAATAATAATAATAATAATAATAATAATAATAATAATAACAACAACAACAACAACAACAATAATAATAATAATTTGTTATTTATACCCCGCCCATCTGGCTGAGTTTCCCCAGCCACTCTGGGCGGCTTCCATCAAGTGTTAAAAACAATACAGCATTAAATATTAAAAACTTCCCTAAACAGGGCTGCCTTCAGATGTCTTTTAAAGAGAAGATAGCTGCTTATTTCCTTCACATCTGCTGGGAGGGCGTTCCACAGGACAGGCGCCACTACCGAGAAGGCCCTCTGTCTGGTTCCCTGTAACCTCACTTCTCGCAATGAGGGAACCGCCAGAAGGCCCTCGGCGCTGGATTCAGTGTGCGGGCTGAACGATGGGGGTGGAGATGCTCCTTCAGGTATACAGGACCGAGGCTGTTTAGGACTTTAAAGGTCAGCACCAATACTTTGAATTGTGCTCAGAAACGTACTGGGAGCCAATGTAGGTCTTTCAGGACCGGTGTTATGTGGTCTCAGCGGCCGCTCCCAGTCACCAGTCTAGCTGCCGCATTCTGGATTAGTTGCAGTTTCCAGGTCACCTACAAAGGTAGCCCTAACTTTGGGAAGTGGGCAGCCCTGCTCTCCTGTCACAATTGGCCCATGGGGGTGGGCGGATTAAGGAATTCAGGCTATGCCTCACTGGCAAGATCTAGTTCCCTACCCCGATATAGGAGACGTTTGTCAGGAGCTTGTCCTACACTCAAGTAGGAACTTGGCAGAGACACATGCCCGACTGGCATGTTCTCTCCCTCCTGGTCAATTCTTCGGGAGCTTCATTAGCTTTTTTCAGCCCGAACATCACAGCGACCGATGCCAACAGACATTGACACACTTAGGGATCCGCAGAGCCTTCACAGCTTGCGTAACAGACCTCAGCAACTCAGCATTTTGGCTAATCTACTTTATTTACATATAAACACACACGGAGCTCTGCAACATGGCTCCCTCTCTCTCTAGCATCAGACAGCAAAGAGAAAGAACAAAGGACAATAGTCCCACTTCACAGAACACAGTAACACAAACATCCTGTCACTGTCACTTCCCACTCTGTGGAATCAAAACATATACCGTCATGTGAAAGACAACAATCACGGAGCAGGAATTCTAACAAAGTTGCCCTAGTCCCAGGCCTTTACTGACTCAACACCAGCACTTTGCACTGTGCCCAGAAACTAACAAGAAACAAATATCCTTCAGCACTGGTGTGTTGTGTTTCTTCCAATGAGTCCAAGTTTGTAACATGGCCAGCATATTCCGAGCATGACTTTTTAAAGGACCTACATAAAGCACACTGCAAGAATCCATTCTTACTGTTGCAAGACAATCTTATTCCAGGAAGGAATTAACCAATTACCCAGTCAAAGTTAGCAAAAGGTGCTCTGTGCTAGGAAGCAGTTTGGCGCTTGCCCTGAAAATCAGCCAGGCCTTTTGAGCTTCCCTGTCAACACCTCCGGGAAGAGAGGGTGGTACTTGGCAGATATCTCTGACAGAGAAAGGGAAGGCCTGGCAGGCCTTAAAGTGATGCTGATTGTGGATTTTGCTCTTGGGGACCATGAGGGCGTTTTCCTGCAATTTCATTCATAGATCAATCATAGATACTGAGCCAACATCACTTGCCTCTTTCCATCTTCATTTAGAGCCCTTCTCTGGCTGCTACCCTATCTTTCTTCCCAAAGGTGAGTTTTCTGTCTTTCATTTTTGACCGGAGTAACCACTGGCAGAGTACCCTAAAATCAGTATCAACTTGGATACGCGAAATTTCGTTTAAATTGCTACACCAGTGGCATTAGACACCATTATGGTATTGTTATATTAATAAAACTATGCCATCACTGTGCTGGAGAGTCTGCAATAGTATAGGCACAGCACTTCACATGTGGTGGGCATGTGCCCATATAAAGCCCTTCTGGCAGAGGGCGTTTATA